TACTCAGCAAGATGCAAAGATTCTCTTTGCTCACACCAACCTTCTTCCTCATCAAGGCACCAGCACCACCATCCTCACAGTTCTCCCTTTAAAACACCCGACCTACCTCCTGCAGCCTCCGGCCCGCCGAGGGCACCAAAGCTGTCAAGTCTAGCTTGTTCTTACTGTTCCCGACCTCGCAGCATCTCTTCACTGGGGCACCCCCATTCCTGTCTTCAAACCTGAACTCCCCTTGGCTTCTATGACCAAATACTCCCCAGCCGCTGCCCCCCAACCTCACCAGCTGCTCCTTCCTTCTCAGGCCCCTCCACCGCTCCAGGGGACTTCAGCCTGGGCCCTTCCTCCTTCCCATCCGGACACACTCCCCTAACTGACCTGGACCAGACTGGTGCTTGAAACACCACAGACAGACCAATGGTTCTGAAAATGGCCCTCTCTGCTTTTCAGCGGGGCCAGTCCATCACCACGGCAGAGCGCCCTCTCTCCCCTAGCTCAAAACCCAAACCTTTCCCTTCCCTCAGGCCGTGCTCAAGTCTTAACTTCTCCAGGAAAATTTTAATACCTTCCCTTGCCTCCAAGGCCCCACAGCTCTCTCCTCTTAACAGGCTTCCTAAAGCATTTAAACAATCAGCAGTACAGAATTTATTACTTAATTACAGACATTCTGAGATTGTTTCCTAGATGTCTGCTTTGCTTCGGTGCAAATCTTCCCTCTCCAACCAGACTGAAGCTTCCAAACATTTACACCAGCACTTCTTCTTGTGTACCTGGCACTTAGCTCCATACACCAGTGACATCCAATTATCAGTCCTCTGACAGCAAAAGAACGTAACATTTTATAAAAGTAAAAACCAAACCCGAGCATTATTTTAGTCTGTTAAACAGTCTGAAAAAAATCTGGATTTTGTCCCAAAGTTACTTAATAAACCATCAATTTTTTTAAAAGAAACCTTTTATCTAGAATCACCATGTAGCATCACCAGGAAAACACTAACTATTGGAAGACCAGGACTAAATCTGTGAAACCTTCTACCACTGACGTCTTCAGATTTTTTAAAACTTAACATTGAGCATTTCACATGAAACATAGGAATAAACAGATTCCCAACAAAATTTGTATTCAGTTTGTGCGTAAAAATAATAAATGGAAGGTAATCCTTTAATGCAAAAGGCTACATAAGATACAAGGAACAGAGTGGTCAAGCTGAGGATTTCTGCCAAACCTCTCTAGAAACATGGCTATGAAAATAAGCGTTGTTCACTAAGATAGGAGAAGGATCTAATGGAGAAGGAAATGGCAACCCACTTCAGTATTCTTGCTTAGAGAATCCCAAGGACCGAGGAGCCTGGTTGGCTGCTGTCCACGGGGTCGCACAGAGTCAGACACAACTGAAGCAACTTAGCATGTACTGGAGAAGGAAATGTCAACCCACTCCAGTGTTCTTGCCTGGAGAATCCCAGGGACGGAGGAGCCTGGTGGGCTGCCGTCTATGGGGTCACACAGAGTCGGACACGACTGAAGCGACTTAGCAGCAGCAGCAGCAGCAGGATCTGAGCTTTATGCTACATTGAAGTCCAGTTCATCCACTAAGAAGAAACAACCTTATTTTTCACTATTAAAGAAAAAGAAAACTTCAATCCCTGCCATCCTTTCAACCCCCAACTTTCCACTCGGCAGCCACATCACAACTCAGCTGAAAACGCTTGGCCACACCGAAGGAATTAAGACAGCCCGCCTGTCCTCGACTTGTCCCCACAGCGCCCCAAACCCCTACCACCATCACCGCCATTCCAAGCACTAGACATGTGTCCCTGACACTCCAGCAACTTCAAATGCACAACTCCTCAAGCATCTCCACTACCCTGGGCCTGCCGGGGCCTCCCACCTCTCACCCCCTCATCTCCTCCACAGTATCTTTCTCATACTTCTCAAATTGGGTATGGTTCTCAGATCCTCGACCCCACCCACTATGCCCCAGAGGAACCCCGGTTGCCCTCTTACGGGTTCCTTTTGCTAATTGTGCTCCCTGATATTAGAGTGTTTACCATACTGTCCTAAGACTTCATGAAACTTTCTCCTCAAATCTCTGTGAGTTCCTGGAGAAGAAAGATGATGTTTTTGTCTATATTCTGTATGAACTGAAAAGTGAGTGTGCCCCAAAACCAAAGGCCCAAGTTCTCACCCCTAGGACCTCTGAAAATAACCCTGCTGGGAAATAGGGTTGGTTTTTGTGGGGTTTTCTGCAGATGGAACTAAATCATGAATCTTGAGAAAAGAGCATCCTGGACTTCCGGTGGACCCCTTAATTCAAAGACTGGTGTCTCATAAGAGAAAGGAGAGTATCTGAAAGACACCAGAGGGAAGACCACTGGAAGACAGGAAACAGATTGGAATTGAGCTGCCACAAGCCAAGGAAAGTCAGAAGCGGAAAAGAGGCAAGGATTCTCCAGGGCCTTGGCAGGAACATAACCCTGCTAAAACCCTTGCTTTTGGACTTCTGGCTTCCAGAAATGGTGAGAGAAGAAATTTGCTGTCTTAAGCCATCAAAGTAGTGATTAATCTACCACAGTCCTAGGAAAATAACACCTAGTCCAAACCTCAACATACTGCCAATGATCTAGAAATGATTTAATTAAAAAAAAAAAAACTGCGTTGAACTAAGGAAAATGAAGACAGGGAGTGAAGATGAAAAAGCATGTGAACTGCAGGGCAAGAATCCAGGGCACAGACCCCCTCGCTATAAATTTATCACGGGAACTTGAGCAAGTCACTTATCTACTATGACCCTCTAATTTATTCTCTAGGAAAATGAGGAAACTGGCCCAGAACACCCCCCCCAACCATTCTGATACACCTGAAACCAACTTCATCCAGAACATCAACTTGATCTGATCCTTAATTATAATTCTTCCCATTCACTAAATTGTATTATTTTAAAGGGCTTTCAGGTGCAAAAAAAAAGGATTAAAATGACATTTCAAAGGTACCTATTTTAATCAGCTCGTTAACATTCAATGAAAGTTTCATCATATGCTGAAAAATTATTTTCTACAATATCAACTTTTTTCCCCTGCAAAATCAACAATTTACAAGTAGCTGCTTTAATTCTGCTGGGACTGTTGACAATTGAGGAAAAATCGACCTAAACTTGAATCAGCTTAAGTGCCACTGATTCAGAAGCCAAATATATGACTAATTTCTTCAGAGTAACAAGGGATATCTCCAAAACAAAGGTTTTCTCCACTTGACTCCAGACTGTAATTATGGGCCCACACTCAAGATTTCCACTTCAAAGAATCTGGCTAAGAAATAAATACAGCTGTTGCCACTACCAAGTGGTCAAGTGTCGGTAAAGGAATCAAACAAAACAAAAACTCTTTTACCATTTTCAGGTCTCCATAAACAGAAACACACACAGTTTCCCTGTGTTAAACCTTTCCTAATTCAAACAAATGGAAACGAAGAACAAAGGTGTTAGTAATGAAATCTGTACCTACCCATAAATCCTGCTAGGGTTAATTTGGGTTAAATTAAAAACCATATTTCTGGGCTAAATTAAAAACCATATTTTAAGTTCTTTCACAGGTCACGCTGTTCCTCTTGCCTTCATGTTTTTATAGTGGCAGCCTTGATTCTTTTTTAGGAAACCAACCAAAACAACACAAGGCGCCGAGGGGCTCATATTTCAGTTCCACAAAATACCCATTAGAAACACTTTTAAACTGTCCCAAACCAATTCATCGTTCAGAAAATAAAATCAAGAGTCACCGGGGCCAAGAGTTCAGCTAGAATTGGCAGAACCACATTTGCAAAACTGGACGGTGAATCGTAGCACAAACTGAGTTACGAGACCAAAAATTTTTCTTTCCAGGTGGAAACTCAATCCGAAAATCAAGTCCCTTGAGTTGGAAGACTCAACAAACCCAGTTTGCAAATCTGAAGTTCTCGGCTTTAAAGATAAGCTCTCATACCCAAGAACCCGGGGGTCGAAGGTGCACGATTTCATCTCAAATATATTTCTGGGCCCTTAAAAATAACTCTTATTTTACAAGGTGCTCTTTAATGTAATAGAACTCAGCTAGCAAAAGCAAAGCAAACAGTCTGGAAATTTGGAGATCACATACAGTGGCGTTCAAAGTCCCTGTGTGGCTTTAGTATCCTGCAAACTAGCGTCCAAATAACTTGTGCAAGGAGCTGAAGGGCTGGCCCGTCTAGCCCAGCTCTGTTTTCCTGCCGCCCCAGCACAGGATGAATGAGCTTTAACTCCGCCGCTAGCATGTTTACTTGCATCCTCACGTGGCACCGCGCAGCTCAGAAGCACTGCGCCGGGACCGCGCGGGGAAACCCTAAAACTTTTACTTTGCAAACTAGCGGAGCGACGCGGGCACACACCCGCTCGCCAGCCACAGAAACGCCTCCGGGCAGAGGCACCCGGGGCTTCCCCAGCATCACCCCCGCCAGCGGCCGCACGCACAGAAAGGCGCGGGGGGTGGCGGCGGGACCCTCTTCCAAGTCGCAAGAAGGGAGAAGCGGCGCGACGGAAAGCGGCTGGGACGGAGGAGACCCGGCGCCAGGGCAGAGGGGCGCCCCGCGGGCTACTCACAGAGTGACCGTGCGGTTCGGCAGCGTGTCCGGGGGCAGGACCTGCGCGAGCTCCAGGCTGCTGCACACCACCTTGCCCTCGGCGGCGCCCGCCGCCCTCCCGGCCCCTCGGGGCCGCCCGTCGTGCTTGCAGCCCGGGGGCAGAGCCACGGCCTCGCCGCCCAGCAGCGCGAGCAGCGCCAGCGGCAGCAGCAGAAGGGGCGGCGGCGGGCGGCCCCGCGGGCGCCGGGGCCGTTCCATGCTGCGGGCCGGGCGGCCGGCCGGGGCCTGCGGGCCGAGCGACGCAGCGCTGGCCTAGCGGGCCGCCCCGGTGGCCCGGCGGACGGGAGCGCAGCGCGGGCCCGGCGGCGCCCGGAGTCTCGAGGTGGCCGGAGAACGCGCCCTCCTCGGCGCCGACATGCTCCTTTGTCCGCAGCTGCCGCGCTCGGCCTCCGGGGAGCCGCGGGGTCACGGCCGCGTGGGTCCCAGCGCCGCTCTACGGCCGGGCGGGAGCGCCGCCGCTTCCTCCACCGCCTCCTCAGTCGCCGCCGCCTCCCCCGGCCACTGCCCGCGGCGGCTCCTCCCCGCCCGCCGCCCCCGCCCCTTCCCCTCGCCGCCTCCTCTCCTCCTCCTCCTTCTCCTCTACCTCGCCGTCTCCGCTCCCCTCGCCGCCCGCGGCTCCGGGAAGGAGTGGCGTGCTCGGGGACCTGCGCCGCCCGCCGTGGAGCCGGACCTCCAGTACCTAGGCGCTCCTGGCTTCCGGGCCGGAGTTGTGGGGCAGCGGGAGTGCCGTAACTCGTGGGGAGGGCGGAAGAAAGTTCTAGTCCAAACTCCAGCCACGGTGGTCACTCTCGCAATTCTCTCCGCCGCCTTCAGACAAAGGCGCCCCGTGTGTCCCTGGGGCCCGCGCGTTCCTCCCGGCGAGCCCCAGTCCTGGGCTTGGGGAGAAGGGAGGAGAGCAGGGCTCAATTTCTTTGGAGAACACAAGAAAGAGTGCCCCAAACCAACAGCCTTCAAAGGAATCGCCTTCCCTCCTCTCTGCAGAGATCTCGAACCTCCTCTAGGTACTGCGTAGTCTCCTTTATCCCAGATACAGCCGAGCTGGGAACAGGGTCCTGTCCCAGAAAAAGGACCCTCCAAAGCCGTTTCTGGCCTTCGGCAATTCCACTTAGACTCTCTGCAAAGGATGCATTGGGGCCTCGATGGACCAGCAGCCTTTGGAAAAGGAAATTTCCCTCTGGTATCCAAAGATACCTCAGATATAACCGGTTAGATCAACTGCGAGCGAACTAGCCAAGAAACTCAAGCGGAATCTATTTTTCTTCTAGGCAGTGCTGCACCCCCGCGCTAATATTTGCAACACCGGGGCTCACCTACCCTATATTTAAATATTTACAAGGAGTATGTCAAACCTTCAAAAAATATATATTCTGTGCTCCATCTTGAGAAATACTCCTTAATAACAACCTGGAAAGCCAAGTGTGTGTCCCGAGCTCGCAGAACCTTGGAGTTACACCTCATAAGTGGTAGGGAAGAAGGACGTACACCCCAGCACCTGGTCTAACACTTAACGTGACTTTAAATTCCTGTGTCCGCTCCATTCATGAACCAGAGGAGCTTTCTGCACGCTTGTGGACACCGCAGTCTCAACGAAGCTCCGTGCGCACTCTCAAGTGGTATTGGCAGCCCTTCAGGCCTAGGAGTGCAAATACCAGTAATTTGGTCCTCCCTTAAGAGGAAAATTCTGGAAAGAGGCCTACTCAAGCCCTGATAGAGCTTCCCAGGTGGCGGCAGCGGCTAAGAATCTGCCAGCAATGCAGGAGACTTGCGAGAGGCGGGCTCGATCCCTAGGTGGAGAAGATCCCCCGTAGGAGGGCATGGCAACGCAACCCAGTATTCTTGCCTGGAGAATGGTTTGGACAGAGGAGCACGACGGGCTATAGTCCATAGGGTCGCAAAGAGTTGGACTGGACTGAAGCGATTTCACACGCAGGCCCTCGAAGTAGCATTGGGAATTTTCAGTCACTGAATTCCAGGGGCCTCGGCTCCTTGGGCAAAGTCTAGTGACAGAAAGGCGACACAAGCTCTTAGGGAACAAGTCCCTCATCCCTGGAGATTTTTCACCCTTTGGGGAGGGAGGAGAGCTTGGTTGGTGCCCTCTAAAACGCAGACCCAGGGACTTCCCTGGTGGTCCAGCAGTTAAGACTCCTGGCTTCCACTGCAGGAGACACAGGTTCAATCCCTCATTGGGGAAGTAAGATCACATATGCTGCCAGGTACAGCCAAAAAATAAAAATAAAGCCAAAAATAAAATAACATGCAGAGCCAGAAAGGGGTTTTTCTTCCCCAAGTCTAAGGTCATTACTGACAAAGGTCCCTACAGAATCTATCTTAGGGGCCAGTTCCTAGGAATCTCTTTATGTGACTAGAACTTTCTCAATAGTAAATAAATGATGTCTATTTAACAGACACTGTTGTGTTAAATTGAATAGCGCTTCATTTGATCAATGTTTTTTGAAAACCAACGATGTGAACCTGAAGGTGTCTATTGCTAATAGTGCATTCTGGAATAAAATATTCTAGATCTGCACTGTCCAGTATGGTGGCTATTTAATACTTGAAATGTAGCTAGTGTGAGGTCAGAAGAGAATTTTTCAGTTTAATTTAATTCAATACCTTGCTGAACTCTGCAGTTCTTGACACTGATGGATAGAAAAAGTGGGATATCATCATCACCATTAAGTAGCTTTAAACCTATAAATAAGCTTAAGTGGTGAAATTAAATAAATACTTTTGAATTTATTTAAAGAATTCTTATTCCCTAACACAATCATCATCATCATTGTCATCTGTTTTCTCTGTAAAGATGAAAACTTCTTAGCAAAAATGGAAGTTTATTAGCCATATTACTATTGTCAGAGCTACAGTTGTCATGTGAACTCAGAATCTCTATCTTCACACACTCTACTTCAGCCTATGGTTGAAATAAATTTCCATGTCTGTTTTGAAATTTGTTTGCCGTATTAACACCAGTTTGATACATATCCTCTTTTTTACCTCACTGTAGTTGAGAAAGCTGTAGAAAGCACAGAATTAGCAAAGAGATATCTCAAGTAATATCCTGAGTCCAAGGAGAAATATGGAGGACATGTTTTATTACATGGATGATTTCAACCATTCTGGCACAGAAATCACTATCTCTGTCTTTGAAATAAATCACTACAAATCACAAAATAATAATACAGTATATTAAAACGAAAAGGCTTTAGAAAGTCTATCTTTCAACCCTGGAGTCCTTGGAAAGCACACAACCCTGAATTATTATTCTGTACCAGCGTGGGTGCATAAGGACATGGCAAATGGTCCTTTCCCCAGTTATGAAGATCTCTGAGGATGACACTGTCTGAAACTTACCATCATTTACCCTCAGTCACACCAAAATCTTCACTTTAATTAAGCTACCCCAGCCCTGACAGTGTCTGGTCAGACAGGTCTACCTACTGCTGATTCCCCCCTCAGGCATCAATAACATTATACCTTTTGAAGTCACAGGACTTAATAGGTCCTTTCAAAGTCCTCACTGTGTTGTTAATTATCCCACTTTAGAACATCCTATAGGAACTGTTTGAGAAATCACTCATTAACCATATTCCTGTACACAGACTCCTGTAAAGTTGTGTTGTGTCAACTTTGTGTTGCTTTAAGGATGATAGATGGACCACATTCCAAGGCTTCTATGCTGCAAATCCTGTCTTGCTATGTTATGTAAAGCTTGTAGGAGATACCAGGGAAACATTCAAAGATGCTTTGTTTATCCTCCTGGTATAGACTCTGTATTAGCTATGTACATGAGTAAATACATATGTATATATATTTATTATGCAATAAATACATGGATTTGTATATATATATGTACCACCCTATTTGTTAACAATTTAATTTTATATGGCTGTCTTCTTCCTTTTCTACCAGATGATGAGCTTCTTGAGATTTTTCTCACCCCTTCTTAAATTACTCCCTCCACCTTCAATTACTCCCTATTACATCACTCTAAAATCTAGACCAGTCATCTAGACTGAATCTAGATAACATGGCTTGTTCCAACCTGAAGATGGCTACCTTTAAAAGTTTGTTTATAGGTTTATGATGTTAGCCTCCCGCATTACAATACCAGCTCTATGACACTTTGTCTTATTTACTTTATAAGGCAGACTCTCTTAGTTTCGGGCTCCTCTCAGGGCTCAAATGGTAAAGAATCTGGCTGCACTTCAGTAGACCTGGGTTTGATCCCTGGGCCCAGAAGATCCCTGGGAGAAGGGAATGGCAACCCACTCCAATAGTCTTGCCTGGGGAATTCCACGGACAGAAGAGCCTGGTAGGCTACAGTTCATGGGGTCGCCAAGAGTCAGACACAACTCAGTGACTAACACTTTCTTCTGTTAGTTAATGCCAAAGAGCCTTTCCTCAACTTTTTCTCCCTTGGAGACTGAAAAAGCTATGCAATCATTTTCCCTTGGAGGGAAAGAGTTGGACACAACTGAGTGACTAACAGTTTCACTTTCTTCTGTTAGTTGTTGCCAAAGAGCCATTCCCCAACTTTTTCTCCTTTGGAGGCTGAAAAAGCTACACAATATGGAAACTACTGGCGGCCATATTGTAGTTCTACCCAAAAAGAGTCAAAGGCAGTGTTGTCCAATATGGTAGATATTAGACACATGTATTTAAATTTAAACTCAATTAAAATTAAATAAAACTAAAAATTCTATTCCTTAGTCACACTAGTCATAATTCAAGTGGTCACTACCCATACGTGGCTGGTAGATACCATTTTGGGCAGCACAAATTATGGAAGAGTTTCAACTCCCAGAAAGCTCTACTCTTCAACACCAATCTGAGGGGAGTCTGCCAAGAAACTTCAGGATAGAAATTTTGATAAATTTTGATAAATAGGGACTTACAAGAGAAGATCTGTCTCACCACCCTCATCCTTCTTGCTTTGGAAATGGTATGGTGAGGACATGAGGCATGGAGCTAAAGCAAGGTCTTTTGAAACCACAAGGCAAAAGGAACAAAGGAAAATTCCTAAATAATAAGAGGAAATGGAAAGACAGCGAAAACACTTGGATCCCCGAGGTCATGGTTGAGCTGCCTCTCAAACCTCTGGACTTATTTTTATTGTGAATGTTCTCTGGTTTAAGCCACTGTTGTTTTGGTTTTCTAGTGCCTACAACAGTGCCTGGCACATGGAAGGGAGTCTAAAGTGTTGATTCTCATAGTTTATACCTTACTCATTTTTATGTGGCAAACATCTAACACAGTTCTTTATATATATTAGCTAGTGAGTGTTGAGAAGATTGACTAATGTCCTGTCTTCCAAAATCAAAGGGAAATGTGTAATGTCATGATTAAACTGACATGGAAAGAACAGCAATTTTTAGCACTTGAAATATCTCAGTGACACCTCTATAAACCCTGTTAATAAACAGACATTCTCTGTTTATTTTTGCATCATTTAATGTTAATCTATTAGTTGTGACAGCTGTAGTTTATATTTTTAGTCGTTACATGGCCTGTGCTGGAATGCATGCTTGGTTATTACCCAGGACCCAGCTAGAAACACCAGAAGCTCAAATAACCCCACAGCCTCTTTAGACAGCATTGGCTCCTGTTCTTGGCTTACTAGTTACTAGAAATAGTGACCTTCAGCAAGTCACTAAAATCTCATCTTTCTGAAATGAGAATTTGAACTGGAACCAGCTTTAAAGTGCTCTGATTTTATCCGACTAAACTATGAATTCTTCTATTGTCTGCTGCAGCCAGACTATTATTGAAATGTATCACTGTGACAGTTAAATGCTCTTTTTAGATGACCAAATATCTTTCTGAAATGGTATATTCTCTACCCACTGCAGTATAATTACCATCAGTTGTAAATATAAAGAAGAAATATGAGGCAAAAATTGGCCAGCAGTGCCATGTGGGGAATTACCTTGATGTAATAGGAGTCTCCAAGTACATGACCGGGCAGGTTAGCACAGAGGTGGTGGAACAGGAAGGCTCACAGTGCAAATTAAG